TCAAAGACCCAGGGAGTTGATCCTGGCAACGATTTACACAATCTCACCATTTGGGGGGCCAAACAACCTCCTTTTTCAAAAGATACTGTGGGGGCACTTTTAATGCTAATGAGCTGGTCAGAAATTCTCACTTGAATTAGTGGTCTGCACCCTGAGAATTGACAACCAACGATTCATCCTTCAGTGAGTTGACTGCTACAGTACCACAGTGACTTCGCAACCACACGTGTACCGTACATGTAATGTACACGTGCACAATTGACCACGTTCGTGTACATGTAGGCCTATAGTTAGCTTTTCACACGAAGGCCTGCGTGTGTCAGTCAAAACCGTTCACGTGCACATCATCAGCACCCATCGTTAACACTTCATAAGTCAACAAATGTGGTAACCACATGCATCCTTGTGTTTTGGTCATGTGAGTTACTCTGATTTAAAAATTACAAAAAGCTAATGTCTCGATATTGGAGTGGAGATTCTGTTTGAGAAAAACTGGTCCCGGAGCTCCTTCGGAGAGGTCATCATTGATTTGGATCATACCATTATCTTGAGGGTTGAAACCGAGATGATATAATTTACGTGAGATAAACTTCCAAAGTTTCTTAAATAAAGTTTAATTTCAGATCAGTCCAAATTCTCTTTCAGGTCATTGGTTATGGTTTTTTATCTATTTTATTAGCTAATAATGACTTCAGGTGAACCGATGGCGCGTTGGCATTTTGCACATGACCCATTAATATAGACTCTTGCAAAAGCTCCCGTTAACGGTTGCAATAGTTAAAATTTTCCGAGAAAAAAATTTTTTGAAAATGACAGAATTTCTGTTGTAAGATTTCACTGATTGTCTGACACTATTATGTACTTACATTTTTTAAATCTTACAAATTCCACAGGCAGGGCAGAAAGCTGTCGGACATTCATAAACTAAGTCACAGCATAAAATGTGCTGCCATCAGAACAATTACAAGGTTTGTTCTGAGTTTAAAGTTTTATGAGCATGAGATATACGGTACCTGCAAATACCCAGTCACGTGAAGGAACAAAGAAAACAGACCAGCGGCTAAACAACCTTTCGAAAGCGACAGCTAGTGCTGTAGCCAAACCGCCGGATCGAGCCCAAAATCATAGAACATGGCACTTTTGAACCAAGCCAAACTGAACCACACATGTACTGGTCAGTTTGGATGTTCAGCTTTGATATGGCATGGTATTGGTAGCAAACAGAATGTACTTAAAAAGTTATCAAAAAAGCAACACAACGAAAAATGGAAAACAAGTTTCAGTACATTTTATTCCATATCCAGGCTCGGCAAATGTGCGAGTACACATGGTGCGTAGAGCAGGTACATGTACCGGGTACAGTACATGTACAGTACATTGCCGATGGCCCCAGATCACATGATGATGTAAAACGCACATGGTGAGAATACACTAATAACCCACCAAGAACACACAAGGTACAGCATTTCAGCTGCAGAACATTACGAAATTCTCACTACACCAATTGTGGACATGCATATTCAGACTGACATTATGTATACCAATCTCCAATATTCACGCCTTTACGTTCCATATTAGGTCAAACGTCCAAAACAAATATTGATTGGATGCTGATCGCAGTTGGACTCGTGTTCGATCGAAGGCAACTCCGGAAGGAAAAAAAAGATTTTGCCAGGCGAAGAGTTGGTGCACACAGGGGCCAAACAATCTTTCCTTTAGTTTGGTCAAAATTGTAGTATTTATATGTTGTGATAGAATTTTGCTAGAGCTACATGTATAAGTTGTTCGCAGATTTCAAATAAAATGCCGTTATCCATTCGAAAAAAAGACCAATGGAAAGTTCAAAATTGCGACTCGGTCGCCGTCCTGGAAAAGAATGCAGACTTGATATCAGGGTCCTTGGAATACATGTATATCGAATGCCACAGTTTGGGAGTTGTATCTAGTTTGTAAAAAAAAAAAACAGAACACAATTCACTCGAAATCCAGTTTGAGTTTGTATCCTGTAAACTAGGAAATTTCTGTCTGAACGTACTGTTTTTGCTGTTTTCACATATCCGACGATCGTTCTGTTGGGTCAAGCCTGGTATAAACATAACCATTTGGTTGGTGAGCTCGTTCGGAAAATGTCACACCACCTCCGAAGATAATATTCAATGGAATTGTAATGCCTAAATGAACTTTGGAAAAACGTGTAAAACTGTTGAAATCAAAGTTGCTTATGGATATGGGATGAAAAAGGAGATTCAATATTAATGTATTATTTATACACGGAAGTACTACGGCACATTCATAGCAAGCCCCCAATATGTCTCAATGTGTGTTGACCATTGCACATCCACATGTACAACACATGTACGTACGCACATGCGTGTACATGTCCCAACACAAACCGAAGTTTGGCAAAAGTTCGACCGTAACGACCCCATCATCTTTAATAAATGTTGGTACTGGAAATGGGGGAACGTCTTTTCCGCAGAACGGCTGTTGGTATTCATGAGGTCCTGAGATACATGTATCATGCTTATTCGCTTATTCATGACAATTCATTGACAAAAGGGCACACAGCCGCCCGGCTCATTAAACCCCTCACGCTTCACCTCACACCTCCGTCATGTCTGCAAATTTCCCCCCTACTGAGTAACGCCAGACCGATCAGAAAAAACGCAAACAATACACAGAAGAACGCATAGTCAATTTGGGATGACGTCTTATGTGCATGATGTATATTTGTGAAGTTTCCATCTCAAAAAAGACCAAGGCTTTTGATTGGTCGATAGCAGTCAGGTGTCCTTTGGCATCATAGATGCAGTGGTCTTCATGAATAGTTTGTATTGTAAAGATTCTAACATGGAAAGATGTTTTTAATCAATCGTTAGCTCTTGTAGCACATTAGCACTGATAATCACAGAAGATCCCAGGATTTTTGTGATGGACTAGACATGGGAATGTTGATTAATGCTGTTATTTCTACTCTTAACCTGCGTATCTAAACATTTGATTTTGTTCTTATTGATTATCGTTGTTATACCTATAGGAAGCTAGTCAAAGATGCCAAGGTGAAGTTAAAATACCAGCACTTGATCACCAACAGCTTTGTAGAGTGCAATCGTCTAATGCGATGGTGTCCGGCACCAGACTGCCCTAATGCATTCAGAGCCAGTCATCTAGAGGTCCGGCCCGTGACATGCACCTGCGGTCACATATGCTGGTAAGCAGACACTTAGGAATTTCACCTTTTACAAATTTGTTTTATATTTCTTAGTAGAATGCATTGTACTTGTGCCATATAAAGTTGGAATGATTGGTCTTTTTTTCTTGTCTTTCAGTTTTGTCTGTGGTGAAAACTGGCATGACCCTGTCAAATGCAAGGTGAGTCCAGCAATCTGTTGGTGACAGCTAAGGGGGGGTATTGTAGTTTGATTCTCACATTAAAAGAGCAGTGATTCAGCGCTATTGACTCTTAGGGAGAAGAGCTGACATAGTCAATCATAGTCAAAGTCAAGCCTCTTTCATTGCAACCTCATAGGTGGGAGGAGAGTTCATTAACCCTAACCATCCTCAATCCTTCAAAATCCTTCAGGCGATTTGGGGGGATTTTAGACAATTGAGGCTGCATGGCACCCTTACTTTGCTGATTGTGAAGGATGCATTGTCTCAAGGTTGTGGAATAGACCTTGTGTTTGGAATGTTCAGCCGTGCATAAATTCATGCCAACATTATACAAGTACATGTGTATATGTGAAATCTTCCATACTGCTGCAGGATACATTTCACACTGCCTCAACATCATGAGGCAATGGGCACCCCTCCACAGAACATATTCAAGAAATTTTGGAGGATTTTGGAGGATTGAGGCTGTATTCAATTTTTTATGGGGGCAGTTGGAGGACTTTTAAGGACTGAGGGTGTGTCCTAATTAAAAGACCCTAGGTGGTTAGGGTTAAGAGCTGAGGAAATCAATGTAGATCACTTACATTCCATTTTGCATTGACTTTCATATGAAAAGACTGTATGCATGCGGTAATTTCCCTGACTGTGACTCCATACATGAAAGACAGATGATGATTTGTCATACCCTAACAATGTCCCATCGGACATACTCATGTACAGCTTGAGTACTCTAGCACTCTAGTGTGTATGCTGTGAAGTATGCTTGACTTTAATTTGAGTTCACTTGTACCTATGGGTGAGTGAAAGGTACACAGCCAGTGGCAGTCAAGTGCCGGCCTACCTTTTCTCTTTGTCACCAGTGAGGGCATCCTTGTGCCCAGAGCCTTTAGCTCTGTCAACCATCAATTGTACCCATGTTTCATCCAATTTAATTCCCTGTGTTCCATTGCAGTGGCTGAGGAAATGGATCAAAAAATGCGACGACGACAGCGAAACCTCCAACTGGATATCAGCAAACACAAAAGAGTGTCCAAAGTGTCATGTGACCATCGAGAAGGACGGAGGATGTAACCATATGGTGTGTCGTAACCAAAACTGTAAGGTAAGAAGTAGAAAAGACTGAAGATGGCAAGACAGGAAAGGTTTGAGGCTTTGTGAGTTGATCTGCAATCATCTCTGAATATGTTGCCATCTTTTATTCCTTCCAGGCTGATTTCTGTTGGGTTTGTCTTGGTCCCTGGGAGCCACATGGGTCATCATGGTAATGTTGACGCACATTTAGTTTAATAAAAGTCATAGTGCTTGTGTAGGTGGTTGTAGTTGTAGGTATGTAGTTATTTTATTGAAATAGTAAAAGAGTATAGGCATAGTATTAAATGTGTAGTTGAATATATAGTAGAATTGGCTGCAATCATTGTACTTTACTAATACAAAGATATTTATGGTATCGTGGAAAACATTAGAAATAGTTTCATAGTATTTAAACTATTAACCACTTAAGTAGGAATAGAATGAAGAGTATTCAGTGAGATTTAAGCTTTGCATGGTGGAAGTTACATTAGCTGTAGGCTGGCAGGCACACTTTTCAGAAGAGGGGTGGTTCTGAGAAGTAGAACCACACCTCTTAAGAGATACGGTAGTTTCCATGGTGTACCCGCCAACCTACAGCTCAAAGTGCTTTCAAGTGGAGAAGCTTGATGAAGGTAGTATTGAAAGACGACAGTGTTAGTATAGCACACATCAAAACTTGCAAACATACATGTATTCATAAAAAGACCAAGCATTGGTATTAGAAATGTTAGCAAAAACTCAATAAAGTCACATATGTAATTCACAGTGATAAGACCAAGAATTGATAAAACAACTGCTTATTATTGCTTACTATTGGCAGGTACAACTGTAACAGATATGATGAGGAGGATGCTAAAAAAGCAAGGGACGCTCAAGCGGTAAGGATTTATCACCCATCTGATGCTTCACCCATTCTCAGAGATTCTGCCATCTACATGTACATGTATGCAGATACTAAACGTGATCGGTTGAAACAAGCTTTACAATCACAAAGCTGTTCAGAAGATGGATGTCTTACTTCTTTTGTTTTCCTTGTACAGAGGTCAAGGCAGGCCTTGGAACGATACTTATTCTATTGTAATCGTTATATGAACCACATGCAGAGTTTACGCTTTGAGAACAAGGTGAGTTGTAGCCACTGCTACAAGAAATGCGTCTTGCTTAGAGGCATAGGCTACGTGTACACAATCATAGTCTAGAGAATTTCCTCTAGTATAGTACATGCTTCATGCAGAATCATTGAGGGCACTGTTTGGTTCTCCAGCGGGCCAGAACTTCTCTGTGCACAAACTGACAGTACTATTTTCAAGTCAACGTTTTTATACCAAGAACTGACAAAATTTCGGAAGCATTTAAATAAGAGTTTTTTGGGCTCTTCGGAAGTGCTTTGGGGAGAAAGTGCTTTTTAATTTTTATGAGACTTAATTTATGCTGTGACAACCGTTGAAAGAGGTGAAAAAAATTTTGGAATAATGGTCACTGTTGACTTCATGTTTGTGTTCGGTTTTGCAGCTGTACTCTCAAATTATGAAGAAGATGGAAGACATGCAGCAGCATAACATGTCTTGGATTGAGGTACAATTCCTCAAGAAGGCCGTAGATGTTCTCTGCCAGTGCCGATCTACCCTTATGTATACATATGTATTCGCCTTCTATCTCAAGAAGAACAACCAGTCACTCATTTTTGAGGTACAGTTTTTTTCGGGAACAGGTGCTCATATTTTTCTCTAGGTTTGCCTGGGTACTTTTTCTGTATTGATACTTGTACCTAGGCCTATTGAAAATTCAATCAACCGTGTCCTAAAGTTTGTTCCTAGATTTGGGTACAGTTTGAGTACAAAATTTGGATAGAGTAACCTTTTTGGCAAAGTCCCACAGATATGGTACAAATGAGTCAACTGAAAGAATACATTTAGAGTCAGATGCAACGTCACACATTTTTGCTGTTGGTTTATCGCAATCCTGGGTTTTCCACTGTTTTGTTGATGCTGTTTGGATTTCAGGAAAATCAGAAAGATTTAGAGAATGCAACTGAGACGCTGTCTGAGTATCTGGAAAGAGACATTAGCAGTGACTCATTGGCTGATATCAAACAGAAGGTACAAGATAAAACAAGGTATGTACACCCACCAGAGAGGACTGGTGCACTGTCACTTGAAGGGCTAATAAAAGAAGTCTGTATTGCAACTATGTCTGCACAGTTACTGATCAGTCAGATTGTTATCGAACGTGCTGTTACATCAAATCCATCTTTTCATTGCATTTTCTCTCAACTTTTTTTACCCAGTGCAATGAAATCTTGGCTTTTCATTCTTTATATCAAGATACTGTTTTTGTTGATGTGATTTGATACAGGTACTGTGAAAGTAGACGCAAGGTCCTACTAGAACATGTCCATGAAGGCTATGAAAAGGATCTTTGGGAATACTATGAGTAGTCAGCCTACACAAAGCTCTTCCAACATCTACCAAACCCTCCCTCCCCCTTTTGGTTAACCCTAGTGACTGTACTTACCCCTTGCCACTGGGACACAATTGAGTGACAGGTGAAACTTGTTCTTACTAGAGTTATATCAAGTGAATCTCACAAATGATGGAATGGGACTACTGCAATTGAAAATGGCTGTAAATTAACCATATCATCACTGTCGATTATTGAATTGTCAGGTCTGTGTCAAATTTATAAGAGACATAGTGCAGTTGTGGATCACTGCCTTTATTGCAAATCAAAAATTGCAAGGTGGAAGGTTATGTTTGATGGAGATGTTGGTAAACACCTTGCAGATGGATTCCATTTAAAAATGGATCCTTGGAAAGTCAAAGACAAAGAGCAACATAGACCAAAGTGAAAGAGAGTTGCAGAGACTATACCGTTGCTGTTATTGATCCGTGTTGGTTAACTGTCTCGATTATGATCAAGACAAGACTGGGTTACACACTGTGGTTTCTTAGATAGCTTCTACCATAATATGAAACACGAGTTATGTTGCACCTGCTCTGTATGTGGAACCTTCCTTGTAGAAGGAACTTATACACTGAGTTATGATTCTGCACTGAAAAGAATATTGGAAATTGATGGCAGCGTTTTTCCAGATAGCATTGAACCAACTTGAAAGTGATGGGAAACTGGGAACACACTACTCTCAAAATAGAAATGACATCAACATATATCAAGGTTTCATTTGGAAATCATGATGTTTTATCTTTCAAGGTTTCCACTGTCTCTCATTCTGTAAAAATTAGAAAAAGCTGTTCACTGTGGGATGAGTAAATGCTCTCACTACAAAGTATTAACAGTTTTGATACCCACCTCACAATATACATGTAAATGATACGAGAATGAATCCATGTATGTACCGTGTCGATGAGAAAAGACAATGGTTTACTCTTAATTGCAGTTAAATGATTTGAAAATTGTTGAATCATTCTTAATAAATTTCAGCCTTTGGAATTATAGCTACTGCACTTTACTTGTTGCTGCATATTAGCCTCTCTGGGTGTTTTTTTTTAGTTGTTCATTTTTCTTCTTTACTTTTCTGTCACATTAAGCAAATTCCTTTAATAACAACTAACATGACATGTAAAGCGTCCTGTTGCAAGAAAAGGAGCAATTACCATCTTCATTATCCTTGCTATTAAAAAACTTAGCGTGAGATGATTGTTCTGTTTTGATGTTTTTCCTCGGTGAACCAGTTTTCCTGTGGTTTCTATTGATGTCTCGAGCTCTAACAGTGTGACATCAGTCCGAGTCTTGGGTTGTGTGATGACTTACTATCACATGGCGAAGCACGTGATGTTCGAATCACGTGATACTGGTGGAAATTTGTAAGCACTGTTTTCACAGTAATGTCCCTCTTCTCTGGAATGCGACGAACAGTTGGTGTATCTTTTTTGTGAATGCTAACAGATTTTGTTGGCAATGTGATGAGTGATTTAAGACAAAACATGAAGACATGTATGTAAAAATTGGAAGAACATGCAGTTGACAAAACAAAAACACAAAAATATACAAATCCTGCGCAGCTAGTGCTGCCTTGTACTTCAGCTCACTTCCCTGATCAAGGAATCTCTGCCATGGCTGCTTGAATCTAGCGATTTTAGTGATTTCTTGCTTAGCTTTTTGTAATTTTGTAATAAGTATGGGGTATGCTGTCAAAGCTATAAAGAAATATTGATGTGAAGCCAACATGTGAGCATTGATTTTGGAGGAATGGGATGGTGAGGGAATGGAAAATACCGTTTAGATTGTTGTAAGGAAAATTGCATCAGTGAAAAGGAGATGCTTTATCAGAGGGTGATTGCCACTTCCAACGTATAAACCAAACCGACACTGAGCAAAAACCAACAGCAGAGAATAAAGTAAGCTGATCCCAACGTAATCAACAATGCACTTGTCAGCAAAGAGCGTGTGGTTCCCTGATTTCAACATGACAAACCTTGGGGATGACACAAAAACCAGGTCATTCAGCTTTTTTAAATCTTACATTCAACTAAATTAATTGGGGGGTAATCGAGATAAATGTCCCAGTGTTCCCAAACCGCCAAGCCAGCGATAGAGTTGAAGATGCACCAATAGAAATCATGCCCTCCTGGCATTGACAAGTACATGCACACGTACATGTATTATGGAGCGGGGACCTGCAGTTTCTTTTTTGGTATTGCTATGGCAGGAAGTTTCTAATTAGGACCACAGACTTTGTGTTCTCTCTTGGTAGAAGGGAATTTGTTTGTCGAATTTATAATCAAACAGTTGTCACAGCGTAGAAGGGAATTTGTTTATCGAGTTTGACAAGTTCATAAACTTCCCGTCGTGCGCTATTCTGCCTCCCAAACTGCAGTTGAATTAAAGATTTCTCACAAGTAATAAATTGATCAACTCCTTATTGATCCGATTTGATGAAGTTTTTTTTTACATGTAGATGTCTGAAATAACTTTTGTAATTTTTTTTTATCATTTGATGTGGCCTGGTTTGTTTTACAGTTATTGTAAAGTTAACATTTTCAGCTGTGGCATTGTTTGATTAATACGCATTCTTGAAGAACACGATTACATGTCCCAGGTCATAAGCTAATGCCGCGGTGTGAAGGGTATCTCATCTTTACTCCAATAAACTGGTTAGTTTTAATACATACTCGCTTATTCTACATGTTATTCAATAAAAAAGACAGCAGTGACGGAGTAGAACACTTCAGCTGACATTTGTGTTGTGTATACGGATTTCTGCCCCCACATAATTTATAATGAGACTGTTGATCTTAATTCTTCCAGTGGCAGTTAAACTTCGTTGCACCTACTCTCACATACATGTACATGTATGCCATCCATATTCTCCTGTGTCGCCTGGTGTCATTCCAAACTTTTGGGGCATCGAATTCCACTGGTTCTGAGTTTTCACTCCCACCAATTCCACCTCCCTCCGTCTATTTTGAGACTGAAATCACTTGCCAACAATTAAGTCTCGTCAGTTAAGTTTGTAGTACCGAAACGCTGGAAATGAATCATTTTTGTTGGTTAATGCACAGACGTTAATTTGCGGAGCCAAGTGGCATTAACGATTAAACTGACTCACAGTCTGAAAACATCCACCTACGCTCAATAATCTTTGTGTTATGTGTGAATCCAGTCATTGAGCCGACATGCCAAAAAATAATCCGCGAGTGGACACAGAGAATAAAGTTAAAGAAAACGTAATCGTTAAAGTAATCGTATGGATCATATCCTACTAATTTTGTCTATTACTTAATTGAAAGCGGAATATTTGGGTCAAACCTGAGCTTGCATGGTTGACCGACAAGTATGCAGTCAAATCTCTCTTTCACATCCGCCCAGCAGGATACGGTTTCGAGGTCATGTAGCACGTGACCTGTCCACCTTTTCCGTCCCGATTTTGGTCAACAGAAAAAAATTGAAGCAGTGCACCATGAGACTGCAATTAATTTGATACAGTCATTGTTCACTAGGATTGGTAAAATGTGTTGCGTCAGTTCCAGGCGAAAAAACTTCAAAATGTTATCTTTTGACTGTTTTTTACTGTGACACAATTTTGTTGGGACGTGAATCTATCGGCAGGCTAGAACTTTCAGTCAGTTGTTATACATAGTATCGTTCGGTTATTGGTGAAGTCAGTGTGTAGTAGCCTACGTGCACTTTGAGGATAAATCTTTGCCGTGCAAAATTTAGTTATGTCGTGAAGTTGACACTTTGCGTTTCTTATTTTTGTACAAGAGATTGACAACATGCGATTTTGTTTGGAGTTGATGGTAATGAGTGTAAATTGATTCCTGGCATATCAACACAGGAATTTTCTCCCCAAATCGAATTCTATACAACTAAAATTAAAAACTGGCTGATTAAAATGGCCTGTTGTTGTGTACTGGAGTAGCAACGACAGAGTGAGAACGTCAGAGGCATTTTTATGCACGCGTACACTGTTCGAGCTTCGGAATTAGATTTGGGATAGGCCGCATAGTTAGTTCAATGCAAACCTAATTTTAAGCCCGAACTGGTCCTGTTTTCTTTTTATTAGAGTCTTGAACAGTGCTTGGGATGCAATCAACTTTGTATTTGGAATCCTCATGTTTGTACTTGAAGAGAGTAAGGAAATGAAGAGGGAAATGGTACAACTTGCTCGACGGTACTTGTAATTATGATGTGCTGGACCGTGTTAGGAGTAACCACCGTTCCAGGGTTTTATTTTGCAGAAAGGGTTTACATCGTGTTCAGTTCTAGGGGGGCTAGAGGGCTTCCCCCAACTTTTGTCTAGCCCCCCCCCAAAAAAAATGAAAAGCAGTATCGCTAGAGAAAGTTACAGGTTACGTCACGTGCGAAGGGTCTACCCCCCCGCCCAAAAAGATATGGATAGTTTACAAGCTTATGCAAACCAGACGGCTGTAGAACCGCGTCAGGTTTGCGTAAGCTTGTAAACTATGTAAAGACGAAAAATCACGAGTTTCTGATGAGAATATTTTTCCCATTCAGTATTCTTTCCTGATCAAAATAGCACAGGTTAATTTCGGATTATAAAACTAATTGGAACTTCCTATTAATCATTAAGATAGAACAGTAATGTTGTTTATCACCTACGTTTATAATAATACCAACCACGCCCATAAGTAACCTTATAGGCTTCCTGTATTTCTTTTACCGTTCTTGAACCGTCAAACTGTCAACTGATTGTCACTCTGCAAATTACAACCAAAATTTGTTTCATTTCCAAGTTGAGAATAAGTTTAATTTCTCTATTGTTTTGGTTGTTAGATGCACAGCACGTAGTTCATGCAGTTTAACAAGGGCAAGACCCGTAACGGATTGTTTTACGGTAGCCAGAGACACCGGGAAATATACCGCTTCAATTCAAACCAACGTCCAACACCTATAGCTTGCCTGTTCCACCCCAAGGAGTTTTTCCTCCGTTTTTCATCGTGCATTTTGGCCTTAAGTGATTCACTAGTTGGATTTATTTTTGAAATTTCTCGAGATCGTTCAATCGGTGTTTGGCCCATACCTTGTAAATAATATAATAAATTATGCGCATGGGTCGTGGAATCAATGTTAAAGTTACGAGAAAACGTTCGACTTTCCCGGTTTGTGTCCACATCTGCTGACTCAAGTTGGATTGAAACCGAGTCCAAAATAAAGTCTGCTTTTGAGTTTAAACACAGAATCAGTCGTAATTTTACAGGGAGTTCTGCCCGCAGTACATTAGATCAATTAAAATTAATGATGTGTTTTGTTGGCTGTAGTCATAAACTATTCTTGCTTTGGTTTTGTTGTCGGTAGTCCCGCTAAAAACTCCCGTCTTTCTATTTACCCTGTCAGTAGCAAGTGAATACAACTTCATCGAAATAAAATGCACAAGGTTCTGTGAAAAACAACTTTGTAAGGCCTAATATTTTGTAAACACAGTACATGTAAACATCACTATCAACATTTTAGTTCCTCTTTTCAACATCTGTGAAAAGTGATGGATTTGGAATGTATGTTACAGTCGCTCTCAGACATCACTCACCAATGTCTATTTGTATATAAACAAAGCGCTTTTAGAGGCACTTAATAATTATGTTGCTTGGTTATATCAGGAATAAAAAGCCTCCATATCAAACACTGACAAAGTGATTGTGAGTAAGTAGGTTTGAAGACGCACCTAAACATCAAAAGCAGAGACCCGAAACTCTTATTCTGGATAGAAATTGTCACTGTTAAATTTTAGTCGGAAATACCAACCTCAATGAGAAGGTTAAACTACTACTGTTCATGGGAGTCGATTTAATCAGTTTCGGTGGTCCTCATTTGAGCTTTGCATAGACTGTGTGACTTTTCTTGGAATGCAGCCTTCCATTTCTTTCCAACTCCAACTCGGCGTAAGTAAGTCCTTCGGCATTGAATTCCCTAGGGTCGGGTTCCTGCCCAATCGCTAGTGCTCCTTGGTTGATATAGGTTGGTTCCCGCCCCTGAATACAACTCCCAATCCCCAAATCCACTTTGTCTTCGACAGGGACTTTGTCGTAAAGTGGATCGCTGTCCCTGGATATCTTCTTGTCCACTTTAGCGTAGCACACGGAGTGTTTGGTTCCGTTCTGTGACGGACCAGCAGCCTGGGGCCAGGGGGACACTGCTGCTACGGGACGATGGTTATCATGGGTCTGATACTCGATGCGATGGTTGTTCTCTGGGTCGTCGATGACACGACTTCCTCCGATAACTGTCTCGTAGGCACCATTGACGAGGTGCATGGATGTGTCACGTCGAATCGAGCTCTTCCTGGCTCGCAATCTCTTCCGTAACACGAGAAGAGCTGCGATGATCAGTACAAAGAGCGTGCTAGCAGCTGCACCAATACCGATAATGGTGTTCTTGTGAAGACTTACCATCGGTAGACTATCGCTTGGTTGAGGTGATGCTGGCGTCGACTTTGGACCGGTGGCACCTTTGTTACTAATTTCTGTCGTTGTTGGTTCTGTGTCCTTGGCTTCAGTCGCTATGAGAGTTGTTGTTAGCACATCATTGGCCATGGTCGGTATGAGAGTTGTTGGTGGTGCTTCTGTGTCTGCCGCAGTTGTCTTGGGGCTTAGTGTTGTTGGCTGTACTAGTCTGAGAACCGCACTCGCCGTTCCTTCTAACCCACGCAGGGTTCTTACCTCGCATGTAATCTCCAAAGCGTCGTCGCCAGCCTCTACAGCAAGTAAATGGAATATCCTGTTGCCGTCTCGCAGCTCAAATCGCTCAGGATTCCGAGCTAAGTAGGGCGGCACCGCCCAAACATAGGATGTGATCCTCGGCAAACCTGTTCCCTGGCATTCAAACTCCACTGTGTCTCCAATCCTCACGTAAGCCACCGAAGGCACGATGACGGCCTGGGGTGAGATATGCAGCGGGCTAGCGGTACAGCTTCGCTTCTCACTCAATGCTTTTGACTCCATCTCACAGGTAAACTCCATCCCGTTATCCTCGGCTGTTAGTTCCCAGCGTGTCCACACATAACCCTCTTCCTTACGGGTCTCCATAGGAACATTCTGGCGGTACCAAGCGGCAGTGGATGGGGGGTTACCCCCAGTCCACATACAGATTAAGTCCACAGTGCTACCAACACCAGCAGTAGTGGAGTTGGATTCGTCCAGTAGGTTAATCGAGCAAGTAGGTGAGGTTTCATCTGGAGGGTAGATAACTGTCAAACGAGCACTGCCTAGGACTCGAAACTTAGTTCCCTCCAAATACCCACAGTAGAAATGTCCATTATCGACGGCTTTCAGATTAGCGATACGAAGATTAAACACATGCCAGTATTCGCTTCCTTGAATCGAGTATCGCTGTTTACGATCGTCATCCAGAGAATCGTACACGTCCCTATTGAATGTTACGAAGCTGTTGGTGGGGTTTTGGTACCACAGTATCGTCTCGCCGTTACGATAATTCACGTCACAGCGAAGCTCTACCGTCTGTCCGGCCCGAGCCTCCGTGGTCTCCGGCCCGCGTCCTAGCCTGATGGACGACACACAACCAGCACCTACTAGCGCCAGAGCGAAAATCATCCGACAAAATCCCATTTTCTTTTGGTGCTAACAGGCTACTGCGACTAACAGGCTTGTAGTTCTCCAATAGACTACTTAACACGATTAAAATTGGGAGGAAATGTTTGTTTCAGCTTACAACCAAGAAAATTGTGCCGACAAAATGCCTAGTTTTGATCTATTGTCTTGTGTTGAAGTGGTCCAGATTATTTGGCCAGAGTGGTTATGCATTGCGAACCTGAATGAAGGTTCAGAGATTACAGGCTAGTCCTTCCTCTTCCACCTTCCAACCAATAGTTTCTGATATCAGTGAGTTTGTGGTATATTTATGCATAAATTACATGGCATACCGGAACTCTGAGTCAAGCCTGTCATTACCAGAGGGTACGGTATGGTTTAAGTGGGTGGGTCGTGCAACCGTGCCTACGTTTCACAGGAGTGGTGGTACATGCTTCCCAAAAAATCACTGTAATTTGTACGAAATGGCGAAAGTTTCACGTTCCAATTTAGGAATGACTTCCAGAAATGACCTCTGAACAACAGCAAAGGGAAGCCGATGGAGGATAATGGAGATGTTATAAATCGGACATTAATCTGGGAGGTGATCAAAGTAGGATGTTACAACGCATAAATATGATATGCGTTGAGATTTCGTGGTCATATCAAGGCCTGACTTCGTTTACATAGTAAATAAGCATACAGTCGTTGCTCAATAAACTTGAGAATTGGCTGCGGACAAATTTCCTTTATTATGGTAAAATTGTGAACCGCAGTTGTGTGCTGGTATTGTACCACCGGCACGCCCGCACTGATTACTAACAAATTCTAAAACATAATGACCGCTTAACAGTTTATGTAATTTGCCTGTGTGTGGTCGTCCTGCTTCTAAAGCAGCACACCGCATGAACCGCCGATAGAATTATGAGTAATTATTATGGTCACAACCAACCTCTTTCCAAGTTGGAATAGTTAGCATCGACCTCACAATTAGAGCTGTGAGATGTGTGTAGATTTTTGTATACGTATTTATGATCTCTCGGAACGAGGTTGAAGTTTGGATGCAAATTTTGTAAATGGAAACTACGCACAAATGAAGTTTGCACGACTGATGAGATCGTTGTTTCCCAAATTATTTTCAGTTCTTTGGTTTTGGAAATTCCTCTTTCCTTCATCATTTATAGTGTTTAGCATACAACTAAGATGCCATTCTTTCAATGAATGGTTGCCAAGATACTGGTAACGGACAAAGTCGCCTGTTAGCTGAACACGACAACGTTTTTGATTTGATGAAAAAATTTCCGACCGCATCCCTAGTTTTACTTCTTAGGACATCCATGCATGTAACTTACTATTACGCAGTCGGCTCAGTAATAATCAAAGGCTACGAAAAGTCGAATTGAAAAGTTTCAAGGGGTATTTAGGGATGAAAAAAGCTAACTTCGATTTCATTTATCTGAACAATCATTTTCAGTGGCTAACTGGTCACTGAGATTGTTGTTGCAAATCATATCATTTAAGTACAATCTTCATAGTGACGTTGAAGCTAGCTTCACTGTTTGGATCATGTAGGAAACTTCGGCCTCTTTTCTTTTCAGTTCGCCTAATTCTGAGACCCCAGGCATAAACTTTGGAGAAGCGGGCTCAATTTTTTTAGAACATAACCATTAAAGTGTGTGATACAATACCTCAGACGAGAGTTTTCATTTTTGGGTAAACTTCAAAAGCTTAAAAAGATTTAGAGGTTGAGACGATGTGGTAGTTTTTAGACGGGCCACTGTTTTATTCTACAGAGACTTATTCCTTTACGTTGTAGGAGGGCGCCAAACAGAGGTTGTAAATAATAAACCCTTGCACAATCAATCTCGTTTGGGCATGTATCTGGTATGGATATAAATACATGACTTTGGAGGATTCTGGCGCCCGAACTGATTGAATGTGACTAAGTAAAGGACAAAGGATGTCATTTTCCGGAATTCGGTTTTCAGTTTGTCTGTTATATAGTGACGTTTCAGTGCGAAAAGTCAGTTAAATGAAATAGTTCTAACGAGAAAAACACCTGCGTACTTGGGCTTTGGTGTTTTTACTAGATTGGCAATCGACCTCAGGGCATGCGCATTGAAAGTATGAAGACAGCATTTGTCATTTGTGCACGAATAATTACTGCCTATACAGCGACCACAGGTTGTCAATGTGGCTGCTCTGAAAACTTCTCAAGGAGCTGAAACAGAAAGTGGATCGACTACTTTCGTCGGGAATAAACATAGCACTATTCTTCCAGTGAAAACACTACATCATTTCCACCTTTCCAACACAAGTCAAAAACAGCAGTCCAAATGTAACATGAGATAGAAATATGCATTGGAATGTATACATGCTGCGTCTATGTGAGCAAGTTAATTGTCGTGATGGTGTACACTAAAATTTCAAAGTCGGTACATACAAGACAATTTTAAAACAGAAGGCGACGAAAGATTATGAAACTGATGCTCCCAATGTCATTACAATTCGTAGTGTTCAACCCCCCCCCAAAAAAAAGATAAGTGTGAGATTCACTACAACTTTAGTTAAGTTAGACGTCGATCAGAAAGGTATGGTGCTCTATTTTATGTGAAAGCAAAATAAAGACTGAGGTCACCTCATTTCCTATGGACGTAAAACTTAGCGGGTCATTTCCTGCCATTGTTTCTTATGTAAAGGTGATCTTTCTCACACATAAGAATTGGAGTCAAGCCAATAAATGCTACCATAAGTTTGGAATCTTTGATGCGATTTGCCGAAAAACTCTCAGAAAACGTTGGGAAGATGGTACTGGAATTAAAATGCCCGATTTGCTGGTCAAGTACAAATCTCTCCCATGGAGTGGTTTCATTTATACTGGTGTTTCGTACGTACACCTAGGCCGATGTTCGTCATTATTTATTGCACTTTGCCAATTTTATCGGCGGCGTTTTGCAATCGATATTATATTCAAGCACATTTGTCATTGTCCGCCTCAACGGATGACACATCAACACAAGACATAAGCCGTGGTTTTGTAAATTGTTACTAATCGGAACAATGTTATGCGTCACAAAAATGCGAATTCCATGATCGAGTCTGGGTGTCCGATTGATTTGTGCAAATTGTGATTTATTTATCCCAAGAAATTTGATGTCAAAATTGACTGTCCACTATATGTCCATGTACGACATTATTCGAGGCTCGATTTTTGAATACAACATATTCTTATTTTTTTTATAAGGAGAGGACAGGAGCTAAAGGGTCCACGTGATTTGCAAATAGATTGCACTTTCAAGCGTTAACAGTTGATGTATATTTGTGAAACTTGTTGCGATTTTCTTAATTTCAATGTTATTTATTTGTGCGTTTCATGCAGGTTGTGCGTGTTTACTTTCCTGTAAAACTTTTCGGAGCTAGACAGCAATGTTTCGTGACGCACACCGAATACATTCAGCAAAAAACTCCTTATCAGACTTCGAACACGCACCTTGGCGGAGAATCCTTTTTTGTTCCATCATCAAATGATCCGAAATCACGTGTTCTGACCCCATTCAGTATTCTCTGCATCTCAAAAGTGCCATATCATTGAGTTTTTACCCACACAAAAACACCCACAATAAGGATGCATCCGTACAAGTGTAAGTACAGGAAAGTGAATGCGTAATACCAGAGGTCTTCATCCGGTGGGATTCTGTCCCAGGAAAACCACTGGTAGACTACCGGATACTACTCCCAGATATCAATCGGTACAAGTTTACATGATCATTGGTAGATTTACGGTGGCTGTGTTATATCGCATCTTGATATCCGCACGTCTGTGAATTGAGTATCACACTGAATGAAAGGTATTGCTTTGATGGGCAGTGACAAATGAAAACAAGCGTTTTATCGTAGAAAGTCCAGCAATCATGTTTGCATCAGTACATTCCAGCTACTTAAAAGTTTTAATGTTAGCCATCTTATTCATTGAGACTGCAGCAATAATGATAATTCGTGGACCGCAAGATCAATCTGTGCATGTTGGTGGGACTGTCATCCTCAGATGCACAGTGAATAACAAGGGGAGCTTTATAGTTTACTGGTTTTTCGACCGAGTTAACCGGTACCTCTCATCCGATGTCACGTTCTTTGAGGAGTCCGCAGATTCCAGACTGAGTATCGTGGGGGATCAGACTCGTGGCGAGTTCAACCTGAGGATTTCTAGGGTGCAACTGACTGATGCCGGAATTTACCGATGCGGCTATGTCCCTTTGGGATCTAACATGTTGACCTCAAGATGGGCACGACTGACTGTGCTGCAACCACCCGATGAAGGCTTTCCACGTTGTGAGGTATCTCCAAGAACCGGAATGATTCAACTGGGCCAGCGGGCCACCCTAACCTGTACCTCCCAGGGAGGAGTGCCGCCAGCCTCGCTCGTTTGGCTACAGAATGGCTTCGAGATCACCGCTGCTGTACAACACAGAAACGTTATTGAAAGGACTTTTGAATCGTCTTTGAACGGGGTTCGGTTCACCTGTCGAGCCACTAGCCCAGCTTTTATTGGAGAACGCACCTGTTCTCTTACCCCCCTCAGTATAAATCCAACAGTGCGTGTGGAGCCACCTCTGCTTGATGTAAGACCTGGTGAGACAGCAGTGTATGTGTGTTTAGATAGAAGTGTGTCCCCGATTGTTGAGATCTCCTGGACGTTTGGTGGCATCTTCGTCCCCCCGTTTGAAGGACCGAGCCGGTTTGAGCTCTCCATGGATCGAAGAACTTTGTCAATTCGCAATGTCCAGTTAACTGACAATCACACCTCGGTGCAGTGCACAGTGGCGACAGCGCAGGCACTGTCAGCCACTGCGGGAGCATTATTAACAGTTCGACTTCGTCCAACCGTGGAGGGTCCAACTGATGTCATCACCACCTTGACACCCACCACGATATTTGCCAACACCACATTAACCCCTGACGTTAACCAGACTGAACCACTCCCAACGTTACAGGCTGACGGCGGTTTGAGTACTGGCGCCATCACAGGTATTATCATTGGCAGTATTGTCATAGCCCAGCTCCTGATCATTGTTTTAGTGTTCGTATCTCACAAACTTTGTTCAGGATCTTCACGTCGTGTGAGAAACAAACCCAGGCGCGGGGATTCCATGGTACCGTCTCTAGCGGGTTGGCAGGGCCAACAGGTAGTCCAAACTTCCTACGAAGGCCTAGACGCATCCGGTAGGTCCGCCAGCGCCATACGATACCTGAGTCTCCATCCTCTAAGAGCCCCGCCCACCAACTTTTCCACCACTGATGTTGGTGTTTATGAAGCTGCAAGTGATCCTAATACCAATACGATAGTCTACGAGTCAGGCTTAATACAGTCACCTTCACAATCCAGTGCCACCCGTGACTCCATGGATATTGACCATGATGTATACCGACCGGCACTGCGGCCCACTGCAGTCAGTCCTGTCGTTTACGAACAACCTAGAAACAGTACCAATCTAACTTACCCAGCCCCCCAAGAGGATGACTATTACGATCCATCGGAAGACACAGAACAACTTGCATCAGCCAACAAGCAAATTCGCTCACAAGTCTCTAAAGATGGCGACTATTACCAACCACCCGACGTCACAGAACAACTTGCATCAGGTAATGAACAAATCTGCTCGAAAGTCTCTAGTAAAGATGGCGACTATTACCAACCACCTGACGTCACAGAACAACTAGCATCAGCTAATAAACAAATCTGCTCGCAAGTCTCTAAAGATGGCGATTACTACGAACCACCAGAATTCACAGAACAAATTGCTGCGTCTTGGAAACAAGACCAGAACTTTAAGCTGCAGCCAAACACAAACCAGAGTCCACTATCAGGTGATGAGAGCGAAGTTTTATACGAACTGCCGTTAGCCAACTCCACTGGAGTAGAGAAAGAACAAGCCAACATCACTGACGATGAAGTGTACTACGAACCTCCACTGGAGGAATACCGTTCCTCAAGTCCAGTAATGACACACATGGCCGATGCACATTTATACGACGTTGCACCAGACGATGACGTGTACGAGACTCCCGATGTACCAGATGTGAAGAGACTATAAATACATGTATGTAGATTTTCGAAATATCGTCCTAAACAGAAACCTTGTTGCTTATTGCCTTACCAAAATTACAACTTAATCGAGTTATCAGGAGGTGGTCTTGTGTTTAAGCATTGACCAGGGCCACACAGGGTAGCTTGGGAACATTTTCAGAAAGTGAATAGGTATAAGAATTTTAGTGATTGTGAATTCGACCAGACAAAGTGATGGTGTAAGGCATATTGCATCACCTAGTCAAGACACAACGACAACGGCTTGAGGCGACGGCTCGACGTGACCATATGAAATATGATGGCCACAGTTTAACCGTCGCCCCGGGCCTCATCAAGGCGAATCAATGATTAACTTCTCATAAGATTTCTTGAAGACAACGTCTTTTAAAAAAATGTTTCTTTGGTAAAATGGAACGGACAACACAATGGGAGTCACGTGGCTCCAGACTAAACTGTGAAAAACACCAATGGAGACGGAACGACGTGTCATATATTTGGGTATCCTATTGAAGGGGCTACGCAATGTGTCATAAATAGGACACCATACATAATTGTTTCAAATCCCTGTACGATTTTTGTCCTGCACAAGACCGGCAAGAACGTTCATTTTGATTTTTTGCTCTCATTTACGTAAAAAAAAACTAAGATTTCAAAATGTGAATTCTCTTTAAAATAAGCTGCAACGACAATAGGATGGGCTTTATTTTAAGCTTCATATAGAGTAACAGTAGTTTAATTTCCTGCATTTTTCCTTTCATAGTTTAATGAACAAATGATCTGTCTGTTGTTTTATTCTTCCAAAGAGAATATTTATGTATGGCTAAATACCATGTGAACATATCTCATTAAGCAAGTTCAAGGCTCAGCTTATTTCATTTTTGTTATTATAATTTTTTGTAGCATAATTTTCTTAAGAGGAACTGAAATTTGATACCATAATCAGGGGCACATCAACAAGTGGGTTATATTTCTTACTCACAGCGTACATTAAATCATGATAGTCAATGGTTTCAAGGGGCGGCTGGTCGGACTTGTTACATATTTTCTTTAAAATAAGGATACAGCAATTTTCATATGGTGGCACAGTTACACAAGTTTAGTTGAAGGTAATTCAATCCCTTGATTACGGAGATTGTTTTTGTGCAGTAGAATTTCGTAGGCCACGCCCAACCCTTATGAACTTAATGGGTTGCCAAATTCTGACGCTGTCCACAAAAATGAGGTGTTTAGAAGAAAGGTGACGCCACTGAAATCGACCAGAAGTCATTTTCAAAAATACCTTGAAAGCGACTTGCCAAAGGCTTGTGTACACAGAAATTTACTGTCAAATTTGTGCAACAAATGTAATTTGCCGAACAGAATTAAAAACAATTACTGCGGTGATGCAACGCTCGTGGACAGGTGATACGCGCGCGTTACATGCCTCTTCGACCAATAGGGTGTCGTGATTTGCCAACTGCACGCGCGCGTCAAGTTGAAGAATGTACGTGTGAGTGCGATGCCAGCTTACGAGTGACGTCTTCTGGAATTAGTCTACAGGTACATGTATTTTACGAAATGGAAAATGAAGAAGACACTACTACTTTGCAAAAGCATTATACTGAGAGACTTTAGAGACGTTTGGGGCGGGAAACATTCTTGTCCTCTTCTGTTGCTAACAGCATTTTGAAGATACACACATCAGCTTATACAATAATGTACATGAGACACACAACAGCAACACAAGGACAGGTATGTCTGTTTCCCCCAAAGGTCTTTGCATCTAGCGTCTGAAAGTCCCGCTTTACACTCAGAAATTTCAAAACAGGCTGGATTGATAATTATGTAGTAGTTTAATAGTTGTCAGTAACATAGAATTATATTATAAGTTGAAATGACTTAAATGTAAAAGCAGCAAAGTTGCGTCAATTTTCTTGAGTACGGTTATGCTTTTTTTAAGTGTACTCGTCGCATAACCTGAAGCTTTATAAAAGTCCCAACACATGCCGGTTAAAAGTCCTGCAACTCATAAAACCAATCTTGAACCAGGCAGTGTTCCTTCCCAAGTTCCAATAAATTCGTTGGCTGTTTTATTGAGAAATGAGGACACAGTGAAGTATGTTTGAATCTATTTTTTCAACCCGTCGTTTTGACACAGTTTCCAGGAGTGTTTAAAACTTATTATAATACAATACAAATTTGGGTGGTGGAAAAACTTTGAAACTACTTCGAGGCTTCATCATTGCCAGTCTCAATGACTTTTACCGTAATGCTTCCTCTTCGACTCCTAAAAACTGATAAAATTTGGAGTATTCTTGAATACTCGACCGAGTTTGAGTCGATACTTGTATGGTCCGTGACGTTGGCGTTGCTACTGTCTCCGAAGTCAAGGTCGGCATACGTGGTGTAACTGCCTCTTTGCAAATTTTCGTATACCGGTTCGGTTGGTTGAACATTTTCATATATATCACAAGTCATCTCAAGCAGTCCAGGTCTTATATAGCAACTGTCCACATAATACAAATCATTAACAGAGTGGAACGAAGCGACTGTTGGTTGGGTGTGGTGGGTGTATTGTATCGCTAGGGACGAGCTGCATGCGGGCCGGTTCCATTCATTAGGGGAGGGATAACCCAGGGACACGCCTCCGCTTAGGTTTTCGTAGGTTCCATAGTCTGACGTCATAGACAATCTACTACCGAAGACTGCTTTATGCTCGTACCCCAACCTTGTTGGCAATGACGCACTGCACCCCTTTGTCCAATTGGGTCCCAAATCCTCATAAAAAGTGTTGTAAATTTCTCCAGTTGAGGCGTTTGTTTGTATCCTCTCCACGTCACCAGCTTCGGGGACGAAACACTCATCTTGGTTTTTCTTCGTGTTCTTCCGGATAGCATTTTTATCCGGTCTCTTTATGTGTCGCTTCTTTGCTGCGTAACCAAACAATTTTGCCACAATCATAAAGCATAGTAGGAGAAGAATAACCCCACCAAGCGAAACTCCCAGGGTAAGGCAATTACACGGAGAATCGTGAAACTGTGATTGCACTCCTAGCTTCCTTAGGGCAAAACTCCCTGGCAGAGTTGGTCTAGCAGTGGGCATGGACGCAATCTCGCGAGCCTTCACCACAATCTTGGCCGTTCCTTTCCCCTTTCTCCCAGTAGCAGTCCGAACTTCACACACGACATTGGTGTTATTATCTCGCCCCTGCACGTCCATGATATGAACGATGCGTCGCCGGGCATCGTCGAATTCATAGCGGGTCTCGTTGGCTATTTGAACGGCGGCTTCCCACGAGAATTCATGCACCGAATCTCTGTCCATCGGCTTAGTGTCACATACAAAACTAGCCGTGCCACCCAAATGTACTCTCCCCTTTACTGGGCTGACGCGAACCTCCAATGGACGTGGCATGATGGAAATTTGGATTTAGTTGAAATTTGAAATGAAACTGAGCAGTTATGAAGTTAACGTATACCTTTGATCAGATCAATTGTGATCGCTGTGGATGAATTTTCCAGCAACCCCCATCAGATGGTCGAACACTTGACGCAAATCTAGAAAACAAAAGGTTCGACATTACTAGCACAGGCACCAGCTTTACAAGAAACTTATTAATATAACAATTTCATAGTACTGAAGTAGGAAATACCTGCACAACAAAACAGCACGATCTAAGATGGATGATGTTCCATTCAGCAAGCCCGGCGACCAAAGGTACCCGACTTTATAGTCCCACACCAGTGTTACACAACGGCCACAATAATGTCAACGTTGGTCGCTGTCGGTAGGTAGGAAATGGGATCTATATTTTTCCCACAAAGACAATGACACCCAGCTAACAAGGCAGCGCGAAGAGGGAACGTCTTAAGATGATGTTAAGAAACTTCCATACAGCAACTACCGAAACTAGGCTCAGATCATGCGTGGTTCGAAACTCGCTTGTGTACATGCTTGGCAACTAAATACTTACTAAACTGTTTTCGTTTCTTGCAGTAAGCTGTTGATTTGTCCAGGTGACTCAGCCAACGTGCTGCGTTACAACAGCAGTCTTCTGAGGAGACAAACATGCACTATGCTTCCTACATGTCAAACAGTCACCTGTTTACGTAGTACACGTCCCATGTGTGTGCGTATATGAACTGACTTGTCATTGTTCATCGTGACAGCTATACCCCCACCCTTCCTTGGCTGTCCCCCAGGTTTGAGTTCGGCCGTGGAAAGTAGATCACCCTCAAATTTGTCATCATCGTTGTACCATCTAGCTTCAGTTTGATCCATGCGATCAAAAAGACAGCAGAAAAGCATTTTAAAACATGCTTGCGAGCAGATTAAAATGTGGTTGCCAATGGTGATGAAGTTACTTTCAAAATTCACACTTTTAAATTTGGAATAAACGACACTGTATTGGTCACAGTGAAATTGTTAATGCCGTTGATTAATCTCGTAAGCATGCTACTTAAAAAAAACTTGACTTTGCATAAATTATTGTTGGATCCTAACGAACAAAAAGTTCTTTTAATCGTAATAATGTTTTTTTACTTGGCTACGTTAAAAAAGCCATTTGGCCAAAGTGACGTCAATGCTCATAGACACCACTCAATAAACCCATGTTTGGCATGCATTGATGTTGATATATGTGAGCTAAGGGTGTAGAAATAGATTACAGGCTGTTTACTTTTATTGGAAAAGATTTGATTTTTCCTTGATCAGTTGGGTAAGCAGTGAGAGAATGGTAAGGGGACGACGGATAACAAAATTACAAAACAAATGGTTACAGAACATGAGGTTTTGTGTTGGATAATAAGGAGAGATCAGTACATCCCCTATTCCTGAATCTACAACTTACGATAATTGCAGTCCACAAATTCTTGTCAACAGTTGTTGTGTACAATTTCCGGAGGTAGAAACCCGGA